ATAAAAACCGTTTCAATCCTGGATTACATATATTTTTGACATAAACAAATTGATATTATTCTTTTGCTGCTTCTTTTTTGTGAATACTAATGTAATGATTCGATAGAGTCGTCATATCCGATATGGTCTAGTGGCTAGGATACCTGGCTCTCACCCAGGAGGCTCGGGTTCGATTCCCGGTATCGGAATTATTTTTTTCAGTCACAGCTTTTTCACGTTTAAAAAAGAATTATATTTCACTAGAAGTAAAAAAAAATCAAGCTTACCTATCTTTTCTTCTCCTAATTTAAAAGCGTTAATAGGTGTTAAACGAATAAAGAAAACTTTGGTAAATGATTAAATTAACAAATATTGTTTTTCATTTTATCAACTTATAACTTTTTTTCATCGTCCTTGCTTTTGACCTCGTTCGATGTCAATTGTGCAAAAATTGAAATAGTGTTATTTTAAAGATGCTTTTGTAATGGCGCTGGCAACACGCGCATTCGAGTACATATTTGACCTTCACCTTAGCACTTTGACCTTGGCAATTTGAAGCTGTTCGACCTTGGACGTGTTTCCTTATTCGAATCTGATGTAATTTTCTTATTTGCATTATACATATGTATATTTTGAAGTACGAAAAGCTATGGAAACATTATACTCGATGTCTGTCTGGACGCATTTTGTTTAGATTGAAAAAAAAATACATATATTTTCTTGTCAGGTGTCAGGACATAAATAAGAGCTCACCAACATCGGTAGTACTTATTGTTTACATCTCGATGCTCACCAAGCATAAAATATACGAGTTTATATAATATAATCTAAAGACTTTAAGATACAACACTTATCAGAATTTTTTATCAAATACTTGTAATTCAGCATTTTAAATAACAATTTCATTGGTGCCGGCATCGAGGATTGAACTCATGTTGCTCAATAATAAATAATAATTCAATATACTCATTATTTAATTAAAAGCGAGCTCACAGACACTGAGCTATCACGGTTCTTAATATTTACTAAGAAGAAAATTATTTATTGTTGCACCCATCTTAATCAGAAGAATATGAAACTGACTCAAGGTTGTGAAATGGGTGAAATTGTCAGGTATTCTTAAACCAATGGTAGATCTATGATTATAAAGGAGAATATTTTGAAATAAAATTGTATGTGGGCTTACTTTGCCAGAGAACACATTTGCCTTACGCAATCCAAAAGGTTATAGAGCGGTTTGTGTAATATAAAAAATGAGAATGACCATTATAATTTAGTTGTCTTATGGTTTTATCTTCTACGTTTATCAGTGCAATGGTCAAGTGCGAGCATTAAGATAACGAAAAATTTTGCAGTCTTTAGTACTTTTTTAAAATAAAAACTTGTTGAAATATTAAAATATCACCTTAAAAACTCTTGTCATGCAACTTCTGAAGAAACTACATAATTTCACAATTCATTGTTGCTTTTTATAGCACACTAATTTCTTAATACGGTGTGTTACTTACCTTAGTTTTATCACGGAATTTACTGAAAAATTTAAATCCCCAAATGTCACCTGTGGTTTTTTTTACGTGGGGTAAATGCCTACGCATGCCGGCCCGCGCAGGGTCAAGCACAGGTTATGGCGGAGTTGCGTTTACTAAAATCCCCACGATGTTCCACCTAAGCGGCAGGGCTACGGGAAAGCTTTCGCACACCTCCGGGTCCCGGCCAGGGAGTCTCCTCGGGGAGCAACTCCCGTCTCCTCCAAGTAGAACACACTGGAACATCATTCTCGGCCTCTGTTGCATGACCAACAAACTCACCTAAGTTCTCTGACCAGAGGCAATGGGAGCCAGGAGTCAACGAGAATAAGCAGGAAGCCTCCCAGCCCCCAGCGGTAGACCTGGTCTGTGGTTCCGCCACTCACCACGTCTCGGCCGCAGAACGTAAGGAATCCTCTCCCCCTCGTCCCCGCCACCACCACATCCACGGTGCAGTAATGCAGTGGCGTAACACAATCCCACTACTATCCTCTTCTTCCTGACTCCACCTCGGTGACAGAGGCGGGGAGAGTGGCTGACCCAGTGGCGGATTTGTAGTCTTGGCCGCCCTAGGCCCTAGCCCATGTAGTAAGTTCCAGCCGCCCCTTTCCCAGAGCCCATCATAATATATGTCAGTATCAGTAGTGTATCTTGTTATCGTCAGTGAATTTTTTGCCATGATTGGCCGCCCCTAATATGTGGCCCTAAGCCCGGGCCTATTGGGCCTTAGGCCAAATCCGCCACTGGGCTGTCCTCCACATTCGTATCCAAAACGGGCTCAAAGAGCCCACTTGGAGGGGGCCGCTTGGGCCGGCCTTACACCAAGGGCCAAGCCAGTGAAGGCGGGAACCTGGTCCGAGGAGTCATCTACCTGTACCTTAGATGAGTAGAATCCTTAAGATATCTGTCTTAGGATTTCTGATAAGATACAGTTTTGCAATCATTAGATAGTATTACGTCTTTAAACGAAACATGTCAGGCGGTGAGTTTGGTGCAAGCGTTTCGCTTATTATGAACTGAATAAAATTGGTGATAAGCGGCTCGGCTTACGTTAGACAAATGGAATGCAGCGGTGTGTTTGGCTAAATTTATAAGTGCTAGCACTGTTATATCACTTGTATGCATTTAAACTCGTAAAACCAATAAAACTGTTTACGTGCCACTTAAATTAATTAACAAAGAATAAGCAACATATACCTAATTAAAATTATAAAATGGATTCAATATAAATTTGAGTCCTTGGCCATCAGAGACAGAGGAGAAACACGATCGCATCACAGATTTGAAAATTATTGACATCAGCTGGGAATCCAATCCATGACCCCAGATGGATTCGATTCCCAATCGGTACAACTATTTATGTGACCCGTTTTGCGGGTGTTTGTCCGCGTAAAATTCATGTTCGTTAAACGTCTTACAACACGGAATAATGTTATCTAATCGGCGGCAATCTGTAGTACACCGCACGGTTAACAAATCTATTTTTATTAGCGAAAAACAAAACCGACTTTAAATATCTCGCTCCGTATTAATTTTATAATTGATTTTTAGAAGTTCCCTAAGTATCTCCGGAGCCCAAGATCCAATGACAGTGAAATTAATATGGAACCATATGAGAAGCACGGGATTTCAAATAAAAAAAAAATCATCAAATTCGGTTCACTCAATCTAAAGTTCTAAGGTAACAAACATAAAAAAAATACAGTACCTCCTCCTTTTGAAGTCGGTTAAAAAGACTGAAACACGAGTATTACTGACCCGTTATATGCGATAATGCGCGTTAAGATCTTTCCAGTTGATAAAAAGCGGACAAAGAACGAACAAAGAACGGAGCACGGAAAAAGGTCGTTACAATTGCCTACCATGGAACGACAAAGACTCAATGACAATAACGCAATAATAATTTTCCCTTTGGAGAGATATAGACCACTATTGGTACTAAAACTGCTGAGAAAAGACTGCAACCTCACAGGTGAATCTATCGGTATTTTATTATTCGATGACATTGAGTTCTTTGAATAAAAAAAAATTTAAGAACCAGGATATAATTATAATAAAAAAACAACAATTCCTAAGGTCACGTGACCAAATTGCAACAGAAGTAATTCCTCTTGAAGAACTTGTTGTGTGCACTTGTGAACTTTACTCTTCACAACTGAAAATAGTTATCTAATATAATACCTACTATAACCTAATCATTCACAAGGAAGTGGTTATCATAATTTATTATTGACAGAATTTGCTATCCATTTGGTAAGAGCTAAGAACCGATGTATAGGTATTTAAAGAAATCAACCGGTTTTGTTAACGATTCGAAGTGTATGAAACGTAGAAGAACAGATTACGTTCAGATGTCGAAAAACGAATCATGATTTTAATCTCCAATTCAAATTCGTCTATAAGTTTTGCAACGCTTAAGCCGGATTTTCTCTATTCAAGTACGTACTTGTAAGTACACATCATTGTATTGACTGTCGTCTTTAGTCGTGGAGGATAGAGAGAGTGGCTAAACGCAATACCAACACTCTTCTTCTCCCGCAACTCTACCACGGTTGCAGAGGACACGGAGCGTGGCTCCACCTTTACCACTCAATCTCCCTCGATCGCGCCCAAAATGCGCTGCCACCTTAAGCGCTAATAAAGTGGGCCCCGGCTACCTCACCCATCGCATGAAACGCAGAAGTATAACAATCTACTGATCTACTGTGAGGTCGTAAAACTTACCCGGATGAACCTGCCCATTCGTCAAACATCGAGCAACTGTTGCGTGGCCTTACCATTTATATTATTCGCCCCGGGCCATGTACTTTGTGTACACGATATGTTGATTTCTGCGTGTTCGTAGGAAAGGTCGAACGAAATCCAAGCGATCTCGTTCCGAGCGTATTCTTATAGTGTAAACCCGGGTTTGCTGTGATTGATGTAGCTTAAAATTGGACACTATATGCAAAACGCCACTGTACGATGAATCATTCTGAGATTCGTCATCGTGGATTATATCCTTACGTAAACCGTCGTTAATCAACAAAAGCAGGCCTTGTTTTCCAATACGGCCTGACCGGCGCTCATTAAAAGTATTTATTGTATATTATTAAAAAAATCTGTATTTTGTCCGGAAGTCCGGTAGCCACGCTCTCTGTGGTCAGCAACACGCATTCAACAGCTATAGTGTTGTGAGTGACCAATGTTTTTGGTTAGGTTCGCTAGAGTTTCAATAGACCGAACTTTTACCGCGTTAAACATCGACCATCTTAGGACACCGATTTAGCGAGCTCGAACTGTTTACTAATTTAACACATTACAACAAATAAATAGTTGCGATTTATCGTTGTTTTATATATAAATGCTTTGTTTATTAAAATATATTGTACTCAAATAAGATTAACCCCCAAATAAAGCCCTCTGTTTGATCATATTTCCCCGAACTTTTTCTATCTATTCTTAAAAATAATATTCTGTTTTTTTTTACGTTTTCACTGTTATCTGCAGGTGAATATGACGGACTTCGTGGAGGGCGGAGCGGTGCTTGCATGGCGACTGCTGGCTACTTTAGAGGGAGGCTCCCTACTGCTGGCAACTTCTGCACTCCTGGCATACACGGCTAGATCGAAAGTGGCCCGCCGTCAGCGACGACCTGTTAGGAATGTTCTAGTAAGGCATTATTTACGTTCAAGTTTTATGATATTTGAATAAAATTAAATAAAAAAACCATATCTATGGTCAATGAACATTAGACCAATGGTCTTTTAAATGGTCCAGTTGTCCCGTCGGGCCGAAATCCTTCATAGAACAGATCACGGCTAGAATCAACATAAGATCGGGTGGTACGTTTCTTTTTATTGTGCGTAAGAAAGCTCGTCGAACACTTTACCTTTAAATACTGTAGTGTCAGGAGGCGGCTTCTGCTGTTATCCGTGGAGTACACGGGGCAGTTATTTTTACTAGTTATTTACGGAAAGCACATTTGCATTACATGATTTTTTTACGTATCGTAGTCCATGATATTATACACTAATACGATATGACACTATTTTAATTGTTTAACGTGTCGGAAACTGTTTTAATTGTTTAGTCCTCTATCTCTCTCCGTATCATACGTTCTTTATCATCTTTCACATTCACTTTTATAATTATGTCATATAATGATTAAAAGCGGAACAATTTCTGAAGCCGTACAGTTGACAAAATGATTCAAAATAATCTTATTCTATTTTGCAAACTGATGTAATTAAGAAGGAAGAATATTTAATTTTATTTAAACAATTTAAATGATTTCAGATCACAAACACCACAAATACATTAGGCAGGGAATTGTCCAGGCGACTTATATCGCGTGGCTGTACCGTGAGTACAGTGACGAGCGAAGCGGCAAGCGAAGCGGGGGCGGATAGAGTAGACGCATTGGTGGTGGTAGGAGCGAATGTGAAGCAAGATGGTTTACACGGTCTCTCTGAGATGGTAACGGAAGATATGTATGATAATGTTAAGGTGATTATTTTTTAATTTGCAAAATTAATTCTTGCTCGAATTTAAATTTTCACGCTATTTAATGCGCAGCTATTGGAGAGCCTATCGCCGCTAGTGCGGGCCGGTGGGTGTGTGGCATGGGCGTGCGCGGGCAAGTTGGATGGAGCGTTCAAAAACGCGGGCACAGCTTATGACGCGGTTATTAAAGCCAGCCTGCAGCATATAGCAAAAAGGTGAATTATGCTGTGTCCTAAAAATATATTTTAAGCTCAGCACTAGTCACTTTTGGGACGTAATAAACTCGATAGCATGATTGTGTATATTCCTTTATTTATATTTTTCATAGCAAATAAAACATAAAGTCAAAGAAAAGTTCATTGTCATCACTTTATCTCAAAAAATCTGAACGTTGAAATCTTGAGAAATGTAAAATATTAGTAAATAAATAACTAAAATATAATGGGAGAAAATATACCGCCTTGCGGCACCCCTGTATCACCATCCGCCCAAGTAGTTACCAGAAGAGTACCCGTACGTGCTCAGTGCCTCGGTACAACATTTATGGCTTAGCGAGAGTATTCAGTGTACCATTCACACATCTTAGCCCTGTTATATTATTTTATTCTTAGTGATAAAAAACTCGATGCATTAATAAGATACATTAATGTACTATACAATATTTTAATATTTTGAGGGGAAAAAATGACGAAAAAGAAGATGCGTACGGATTTTCTTTCGTCCGTTTCTTGTTCGTTAGAGGAACCTCATTACGAAACGGTAATGGATTTTAAAAAAAGGACTATCGACAGATGAAAATTATGTTTCTTAATAAATGATCTGATTGGACAACTCTACGCAGCCGACATTGCGAACCGGTCTGGATCGGTCGATTCGACGACGCATCACTGGTCGCCGAGCGATTGGTCGCTTCGCTCATGCCTTGCGCCAACCAACAAGATGTCGGCTTCTCGATCAGGTTAAACAGCAAACTTTTAAAATCCATCCAATGCAATTAACTTTCGTGAATATAATATTTATATAAAGTAAATTCTAAATCAGTTCCATTAATGATGACTATTAAAGAAATTCAATGATAATTTGACACATTATTTATATAGCTTCTGTAAAAACAATATAAAATTTTATAACGTGCGTAACCTTTCTATTGCGAGCAGTAAAGGTCTTTTTCTTTTTTACCCGACTGCGCCAGAAGGAGGGTTTTTATAGAGTATGTATGTATGTATGTATGAATAATTGTTTGCCACGCTCTCCAGCCTGAACGGCTTGATGGGTTTTAGCTTGATAGGTGTCGTTAGATTCGTATTTATTGTGAGAGTAACACTAGGGATATCAAAATAAAAAAATTACACAGAAACGCAGTCGGATTTTTTACTTTTTCAAACTATATTACACTTGTTTTCTAACGATCTACATAATATGCTAATGTCAGAAATTGTTGACAATTCGTTGTAGTAATGCAAAGTAAGAAGCTGCTTAATAAAGATAGACAATTTACTTTTAATTCTTAAATATATTTTCCAGAAACGCTGCGCAAAAACTCAGCAATTATCTTGGCAGATGGCTAAAAATCATTACATGAAGCGACCCTAACTTGATAAGTTAATTAAAATAAAGTATTAATATCTTATGTAAATAAATTATAAAAATAAAAACTCAACCTAGTGTAAGAAGACGACTAAGTTATGTTATTAATATTTAAATAAAATTAATTATAGTATGAGAAAAAATAAAGCGTTTTATTTTATACACACCGTTGTATAGTTAAGTTGGTTTATAAACAATCTTAATTAAAACTCGGTGAGACGCATTCATGTAGGCTGGTGCAAAAATTTGTACACATTTATATATCCACAATAATTAAAATATATCATAATTAAAATCTTAACGTCTTTTATCTACAATGTTTTTTTAGCATTTGAGGCAATGCTTGGCGCATCCATTGTTATATCCTTTCCAGCATACAAACAATTTCAAATATCGTTTTGTAACGATAATTCGAACGAGCGATGTCGCTATTGCATTTTTTAGAAATTTGACAGGTTGACAGGTACAGTTTGTATGGGAAAATTAAATTGTCGCTATTTCGATTTTCCTTGCAATTTTTCCATAATTTCTCATCTTTTAAACCTACCCTGGACTGCCACAAATATTTCAAAGCCAAAATCGGTCCAGCCGTTCTCGAGTTTTAGCGAGACTAACGAACAGCAATTCATTTTTATATGTATGATGTTGTTAACTTTAGGGATGCCGAAAATGAGGAAATATATCGATATTTATAAAAATATTAATATCTACCCCGACATATCGGAGAGAAAATATCGATAGGTCGAAAATTGCATGGAAAATCGAAATAGCAACAATTTTATTTTCCCTTTACAAGCTGTTCTTACCTGTCAAACATCAGCTAAACAGAGTCAGCTAGTAATAATTAATAATACCGTTCCGCTAGCCGCTAGACGGCGGCTCTCGTGTCTGGTCTGACTTTGCGCGTCTTGCGGTTTGACCGACGATTAGGTGATGTAATTTACAATATTTAAAATTCATTTGAAATTCATTATAGACTTAACTAGCGACCCGCCCCGGCTTCGCACGGGTGCAATGCATTATACATATAAACCTTCCTCTTGAATCACTCTATCTAGTAAAAAAAACCGTATCAAGATCCGTTGCGCAGTCTTAAAGGTGTAAGCATACATAGGGACAGACAAACAGCGGGACAACTTTGTTTTATACTATGTAGTGATTTAAGCTCTAAATGAAGCTACCACCAGTTCACTAAACTAGACCTGACCGAAGAAGAACCGGCAAGAAACTCCGCGGCTTTGTTATCTCTTTTTATATGAATTAAGTATACAATATCTTTTAAGTGTTAAATCAGCAGCAGCAGGAGACTTGCAAGTTCAGAGCAAGATGACTCTCTCCACACATCCTAGTCCTCAATGTATTCTTCGACAATGTAATGGGCCCTTTCCATTAGGGTAGCGTTTACAAAACATTTGAAATCACTTAAGTTATTCATGGATGTTGTTGCGGACCTCTTTGCTATTTTAATAGCTGATGTAGTTTTTTACTTTTTTCTATTACCTATTTCTTCCTGTTTGCTTCATTTTTCTGTTTTTATCAAAAAACAATCATTCTTCAACTTGTATCATCATTTTATCATTTGCAGAGATTAATTTGGTTTGTTCGTTTCAGATGTAATTTACGACAACGCTTCATTACGATTATACAGTTATTAAAATTTGTTTTTACATGAGATTTTGGACAGCGGTTCACCTGACGTTAATTGATAACCGCCGCCAGAGCCGGATTGGGCAAGCGCGGCGTCCGTAGCAAATTCTTTCAAACAGCCCTTGATCTGCTATCGGTCCTTAAGTATAAAGTACATGGAAGACCGAGCTTTGCTCCGTTTTTTTTTTGGTAAATCATGTATTTTGGAAATAAACAAAATAAAGTAAATGATCTGCTATAGAAAAAAAAGTAAAAAAATAAGTGTGTATGATCGTGATACGAACCGCGGCCGTCTGTTTTCCGGCCGCCCGATGACCGACCGAGCTATTATAACATTTTTTTTTTAAATTTACTGCCATATTCGAAAGAGATTTTTCATTCTCTGAAAACAGGGATAAAAGGACATTTTCTAAAAATGAAACCTAGCTAGATCGATTTTTCGCCCCCGAATCTAGCCACATACTAAATTTCATGAAAGTCGCTGGAGCCGTTTCCGTAATCCCGATATACTAGCGGCCCGCCCCGGCTTCGCACGGGTATTTAACAAAATTTTTAAAATTAAAAATTATCATACACATGAAATATTCCGAATATTTCGTCTTTGGTAGATAATTTTATGAATTTCTTGAAATTACGTCATGATGGAAAACCGCTGACCAGATAATGGTTCCGCTTTAATTACGCGACATTCGGGGTTACACGTAAAAGTGACAAATGAGTCTGGTCTCCCATAGCTTCGGACATAAATCATCGCATCTTTGGTTTTTTTGTTGACCGATATTTGATGAGCCAATGTCTTGATTTAAAGCGTCTCTAAGATGAATGTTTCACCAGCCCTCTGTCTCTGGTGATTACGACATCATATGTAATTCAATCTTTATGATATCTTTTTGCCATCATATCGACAATGTATTGATTAAAAACCGGCCAAGTGCGAGTCCGAATCGCACACGATGGGTTCCGTACCGACCTCACAGAAGACCGGCGTAAAATAGAAGTGTTATACTTCTACGTTTCGTCTGGTGAGCGAGGTAGCCGCGGCCCACTTTATTTAAAGGTGTTACAAATGTCCATGGGCGGCGGTTATTACTTAACATCAGGTGAACCGCCAGCTCGTTTGCCACTCTATCACTCTATCACACCATTAAAAAAAATCATGTTTTAATATCTTTATTCAATGTGGAAGTATAAGAGTATTACACTTACATATTGTCAAAAACACTGATATTGTCAACATTATCTATAAAAACGGCAAAAAAATCATGTCTGTTTTATGGGAGCCCCACTTATTTATATTTTTTTTTAGTATTTGTTGTTATAGTAAAGTAAGTACCAGCCTATACATGTCCCACTGCTGGGCAAAGGCCTCCTCTATACAGAGGGTATCAGGGCATAGTCCACCACGCGGCCCCACTGCGGATTGGCGGACTTCACATATTTTCTAAATACATGTTTTTGTTATTATTTCGAAAATATACAGGTTTCCTCACGTTTTCCTTCACCGCGGAGCACGTGATAATTCAGCACTTAAAGTTAAAAACTTCATTGGTGCCGGCACCGGGGATCGAACTCAGGTTGCTCGAGTATATATTGAATTAAAAGCGAGCGCCCGGACACTGAGCTATCACGGCTCGTTATAGCGGCAACTCGTTTGTTGTTATAGCGGCAACAAAAATACATCGTTTGTGAAAATTTCAACTGTCTAACTATCACGATTTATGAGATACAACCTGGTGACATATGGACAGACATACGGACATACAGACGGACAGCGGAGTCTTAGTAATAGGGTGCCGTTTCAGCCTTTGGGTACGGAACCCTAATAAGTCCCAGTAATAATGCATTGGCTTAAAACAGGTAGCTCTAACCATCAACCTAAATGCATACAATTGCATGCATGTCACAGTTTTGTTACGCACTGTACCTTGCTGAGGAATGGTCAAATAATAACCGTCTTCTCCCATTACGACGATTAAGGGATATTGTAGTGTATCATGCAATCGGTGTAACTCCAGAGACCCTTTTAAGTTGGCCGTGTCTACCGTGCAACACTATATCTCTGGGGCCATTTTCTGGTTCGGTACCCACTCAGAGCTCGATTCCCTAGTGTGAATTTGTATATTTATATTATTTTGCTCTTCAATCCACTGCAAACACTCTACTTGACTCTCTCCGACTTGTAAGACGATGTTCAGTTTACGGTAAAGATTCTTCATTACAACGTATTTTTGATGCCCTCGCTTGGGAACTTTTTCTAGAAAGATGAGATCTTGATCTTTGGGCATTTTAAAACGATGTTGAACAGGAATTACCACTAAAAATGTGATTGAAGAATTATAAGAAGTACTAAGTCAGTCACTAAGCTGTTTGGATAGTTAAATAATTTTAACAATTAACAATATACAATATACCTACATATATTTTTAAACTTGTGATATCTTTCGAATGATAATTTCCGAATTTGATAATTCAAAAAGTTATAAAAAGATATTGAAACTTAATAAAAATAAAATTCTTAAATAAGAAGTAATTAATTTATACAGCGTGTCGTTACCATCGCTACAATAAATGAACACACGTCTAACGCTACTTACAAATAATCATAAAAAAATATTAACGTTAAGCAAAATCCATAAAAAAATAAAATATTTAACTAATTAAGTAAAAAAGAAACAAAATTTGTAACATCCTAAACAACTCGCGCCACAGCGTCGTATTACAAGCCTATCCTTCTAACAGTATGTTTTGTCTCTTTTAAATTCATTCAACCCATTCATATGCTTTGTGACCTTTACAAATGAACTTTACGTTACACTTTTACACGTAGGGGTGTTCTAAAATTGTTTGTTTTGGAAAATTAAATAACTCGGTAAATATTGATGTTTAAAGTATGTAAATGTTTAATAAAGTTTTAAAAAGTTATCCTCTATATGTGTGTTCATTTATTGTCGCAGTGGTAACGACACGCTGTATAAGGATTAATACCAAGATACAAATAAAGAGCCTTTTCTAGCGGCGTAATTTCAATCAAAATTTTAAAATAAAACACTAATCATTGTGGCATAACTATAATAGTTAGACATATGCTGTCGCGACACTTTTTGTAAATAATAATGTGTTCTGCAAAGTCGTAGTGCATTATTTTATTCTATCATCAATGGTTTTCGCAGCGCACGCGATGTAAAGAATATTCTAGGTAATTTTTGTGCACCTTGAGTAACATTATTGGAGTTGTAGTAAGGATCCCTAATTTTTTTGAAAATGTAACATAGCCTATATCAAGCAGGGATAATGTAGCTTCTCAACAGTCAAAGAATTTTTTAAATCGGTTCAGTAGTTTCGGAGCCTATTCAATACATACAAACAATCAAATCTTTCTTCTTAATATAATAATAAATAATAAAGTATAGAGTATAGATTACGCGTTACGCTAGATAAAAACTCACATTCAAACAGCACATTAGCTTAGTTTTGTAGCAAAGTACGTCATTACGTGAAGTGCAAGGTGAGACATTTCTCACCTTGCACTTCACACTTGTATCAATATGTTGTGTATGCAGGAATTTTTCGAAAGATTCTATCTGCACTTTATGCGTTTCATCTTAAATGTTGAATTTCAAAAGCAAAAGCGACATCTCTTTAGTTTTCAAATATACATTGTAAAATTCCATTTTAGTGATGTTATTTCTTGTATAGGAACTACACTAGATGGCGCCAAGTATTGCTAATAAAGGAAACAAAACCATCAACAAAGTAGATACAACTTCAAGATTTTTGCACGGTGATGATATCGATTGCTTAACTAAGAAGTAAAAACGTCTGGGCACGTTAATTTATTTACACAACTTAATTTGAAGGATTTAAATGCGGTCTTTGACAGTTTCATATAATCTTTAAATTGTAGAAAATGACTGTCACAGATAGATTTTTGACTTTTGTGTATCTGTAACATAATTTTTTTTCCTAGTTCTAAGACTCGCAATGGAGTGTCAGACGTGTCCATAATAAATACAAATCCTATTTTAGTTATTCGTAATGCTTTCAGCAGTTTTATAATTGATAAAAGATAATTTTCGATTATGTTCATTTCATGTGATATTTTGTTCCACCTAAATTCACCGCTTAAATATGGAGGAGGTAAGCACTGAGGTTACTATATTTGTGTTGTGACACAACAATGCACGATGATTTTGCAATCATTTTCACTTTCAGGATCTTAATGACAATGAGCTAGAGGAACGGTTCTATTCTGTTTTACATTATGTGGATGAAACACCGGCAATTATAACCAACAATCAAAAGGATGTTGACCACATTGTGGAGAGCACACCTCAGAGCTCTGTTCGCCGTTACTGGCGAACTAGTGGTGATCTGACTCTGCAAAAAGCTAACCCTGCAAAAGATACTAATCTGTCCATAAATAAAACTTCAGTCGTAGAAAATCCCAAAGCAAAAGCAGAAAAAAATGACCAAACTATACTATCCGCCGATTTATCAATATTCCAATCTCCCGTACCGAAGTTTGTGAAGAAAAGCATAGAGATAATTGAAAACGATGAACCATCCAATGTTGTTGAATTGGAAACAAGTGATGAAGATGAAGTAATTGAGGTCAAATTGCCACCAAAACCAACAATTACCATTGAAAGTTCCGATGATGAAGAAATTTCCGAAGTGTCTACAGCTGCCCCATTCAATAAAAAAGATAACAATATAATTGCTCCAGAAAACAAAACTACAAACAGGGGTGACAGAGATGTATCAGCAAGTCCTGTCCCGTCGATTGTATCATCTGTTTCAGACGAATTTATCCGTGGTGACTGCATTGCTCTCAACATATCCTCTAAACGCCCAAACAACCAAAGCTTTGATTTCAGTCTTCATGGCTCTGACATAGTTGATCAAAATACACCACCTAAAAAGAAAAAAAAGAAGAAAAACAAGGATGCCGTAAACTCTACCCCTGTAATGAATACTGCAACAACTGTTACACCAGCATCCAAAGAAGGTGAATATTTTGCAACACCCAAAAGTAAAGCAAAGAATAAGAGGCAGAAATCTAAAAACTATTCTGTATCTGAAAAAAGTATTCCAAGTGCTGATGTCTATGATTCTGACAGTAACCAATCAACTAACGATTTGGATAAAAATCAACGGTCTTACATTGTAACTGACAGAAGCTTTCCCAGCGCAGATGTTTATGAGTCAGATTCCAATCAGTCAGAGAAAATTAGTCCCCCTAAAAATCGAAAAATAAATGAACCTGATACTTGTACTACATCTGATGGTAGTGTTTGCTTGGAAACTCTTGAACATGTTGTAGAAATCCACGTAGCGAAAACACCCAAAAGAAACACAGCTACACCTTATCAAAGCCTAACAACTGTAGACTTAACTGACACAACTCTCGATCAAACTGCTATTGAAGAGAACATTGTTATGGCTAATGTAACTGGTTTCCAATCTCCAGAAGTATCGGACATTGATAACACAGTGCAAAGTGATGCAACAAGATTTGGCTCTACAAAAGTACCTGCAATTTTATATGACAATCTAGATTTTGACAATTTGAAGGGAAAAGGGAAAGTTTGTAATAAAAGGAGATACTCCATGACAACATTACGTGCAGAAATGGAGAAATTTTATAATGAGAGTTGGGGTGGAGAAAATTTCAATCATCGTGAGATACAGAAAAATATGTCCCGTAAGTTTTTTTACTTTTATGTTTTTAGTTGCTTTACTACTATTATACTATTTTAAGTTTTTATAAAAAATGATATATAAATGAGTTCAAATCGCTCAATTTGTTTTAATTTCCATTATGACATTTTCCACATGCAATATTGATTTAATTTAAATTGAAATTAAAGAGTATCAACTAATAATATATTTGAATACAAAAAAAATGTTATTTACTAAGATGTTAGGTGGCTGAATTGGATAATAAAGTTTGTACAACAGGATTGTATTAGAAACACAAACATAATTATGACTCAATTAAGTCAGTCTGTAAGTGCAGTACGAACTAAAAACATAAATTTACCTTGAAGATAATGGTAGTGTAAAAAAAATTATGAAAGTAGGTACCAAACCAAAACTATGTCTTATGTTAACACTTTTGTTTATTTACAGGTGACAAAAGTTTATGGGTAATTGATCCCAAAGATAGAATGCCGGGACTGGCAAGAAGAAAACCAACGTAAGTACAACATAATAGTATTTTTTACTCTATCAGTGTAAATATTATTTAACATGAAAACATGAAAATAATAAAAATAATGTTTTATAAACATTTGTGTATTAGTTCTTATAATTGAATTCAATATACAGCGTGTCGTTACCACCGCGACAATAAATGAACACATATACAGGAAATCTTTTTAAAATTGTATTAAACATTTACATTCTTTAAACATCAATATTAACCCAGTTATTAAATTTTCCAAAACAAACAATTTTAGAACACCCTTACGTATAAAACTGTAATGTAAAGTTCATTTGTAAAGGTCACAAAGCATATGAATGGGTTGAATGAATTTAAAAGAGACAAAACACTGTTAGAAGGAGAAGCTTGTAATGCGACGCTGTGGCGCGAGTTGTATAGGATGTTACAAATTTTGTTTCTTTTTTACTTAATTAGTTTGTATGAAAAATATATTTTTTTAATTATGGATTTTGTTTAACGTTAGTATTTTTTTATGATTATTGGCAAGTAGCGTTAGACGTGTGTTCATTTATTGTCGCGATGGTAACGACACGCTGTATATAAATTAAGAGTTCCCAGTTGCTATTATAAAATAAGTCTGTGAAAGGGGTGAGTATTGAGATGACGGCTGATAGAGGAAAGTGCTAGAAAAGGACATGTTGTGCTGACCCTACCCAGTGTGGGATAAGGACAGGAGAAAGATGAAAAGTTATTAGCGTAGTAGTTCCTCATATTGCTTAATGTTTAGTACAGCGATATGAATAGCAAACAATATTTATTACTGCGCGGCATACTTCATGGAATCATAATAATTGCATTGCAGCTGTGGATACTGCAACCGTACGGGCCACAGGGAGGACACATGCCGAATGAAGCCACCTGTGTGTTACATGTGCGGATCCGCTGGACACGTTGAACCGCGCTGCCCTAGAAAAATTTGTGTCAATGTGAGTTCTCATTTATTCTAATATACTGAACATTTGTAACTGCTGTTCTTTAACTCTTAATATAAATAAAACTCTTATGACATGTATTACCACATAGTTATAGTTAAGAAGCAGAGAGCATCCTTCCATTACTATTTGTAATGGTTCTTTGCCTCATCTATTAATAACATCATTTAGTTTTGAGGTTGTGGTACTTACCCGGACGAACCTGCCTATTCATGCAACAGCGGAGGCTCTACCACTGTCATTTTTATCACTGTAAATATAAAAATAATAAAAATGAAACTGAGAAAAGTTTGCTTTCAATAATAATTTTAATCGTTCTACGGTTGCAGTGTGGATCACCAAACCATATGTATACAACGATGTGCCGAAACTGCTGCAACTGGCACAACATCAGGTGCGCCGAATGCGGTCAGATCGGTCACCCATCCAGCCACTGTCCAGACTTGTGGCGGCGCTATCATAATACGGTGAGAAACAATTTTAGTAGTTGCAAGTAGTAATTACAGATTTTTATGTTGTTTTATTATGTGAGGAAGTGGCGGACGAACCACACATGAGACGTTAAAGAATGTCTCGTTCCTTATACCAAAGGATTTTTTTCAAATATTTGAAACGCCATAATCATGTCAATAGACAGAAGGATATATAATTTTTGTCCACGAAAACAGGCATAGTTCAACGTTCCGATCGGTTTTTTATGTCATTATAAACTTACGCGTAATAAATAACGTAATAAATAACTTTTTTTTATTTATGTATTTTATTTCAGATCACGTACAACACACCGTTGGAGGAGAACCGCCAGATGAAGAGGCACTACCAGATGTTCTGTAGCGGCTGCGCCAGGCGGGGCCACCTCATCCACACGTGCCGCCTCTCTCTGCCGTTCTCCGGGCTACCCATCAACTCCCCATACGTCGTTCTTTACAACCCGCTGCCGTTCAACGCGCGCGACGTCAGCGCTAATCCCCCTAGGCTCCGTCAGCCGTTCCGCGCCAACACGCAGGACTCGACGGTCACCTCCGCCTCGATACCGCTGAGGGGCGAGCGTGGCAAGAGGCAGTCCGATTCGCCCGCACCTTGCGAGGGCAGTGCCAGCAAAAGGCGAAACACCTCCAACTCCGAAGAGGACGGCCGACGCAACACGAAGAGCCCGATTGGCGAGGGGAAGAGGTCGCAGAGCAAAGAGAAGACAGTGGACAAGGAAATTGAGGACACTGCAACAGCAGTCGACAACGCGGCACCGCCGGCTAAACCACCGAACGCAACAGTCGATAAAGACCCGGATTTCATCACGGTCACCTCCCCCAACCATGACAAGAGAGGGCAGATCATCCAAGACAACGAGGTGTCCGACACGAGTGACGTAGTCACAACCTCGAGGATCTACGTCACCGACGACATCATTGAGAAACTCAAATCGAAGGAGGGCGAGGAATGGTTGAAGGAATCGACGAGGAAAAACAATGTAACCATACAGAATTCAGATTCCAATTTATTCATAGGTATCATTGGGAAGGTCGCCGACCAAGAGGCTTTTCAATCCGAACTTAGGGATTGGATTAAAAGTAATGAGACTGGTGACAAGCTAAAACCTAACAATTGTTCGGTTCTAAACAATACCGCAAAGGATGAGGACGTTATGTGCAATAATATACCAAAAAATCGTTACAACGTTCTTAGGAAGATTAGCAAAGCATTGGATTCACTTAAAACAGATTTGGGCGATCCAAGGGATATTTACAAAGAGTTAATTTACTTGCAAAACCATCATGAACAGCTCCTCAAGCAGAAAGAAATCAGTCCAAAACAGTTGTCCAATAACAGGGAGAACATGAATGTGATGCTGAAGAAACTGAATATGGTACTATTAGGGCAAGCTGGTCTTGCGGATGGGTCCAAGCACCTGAGGGAGCTGTACTCTATCCAGGAGAAATTGACCAATTTCCGACAGAAACACATAACTACACAGATGCGCACCGAAATCGGTGAACATTACCATTGCATATTCACCGCCGTGCCGCGTGAAGACTACCAAGAGTTACTGAATAAGTATTACGTGTCCAAAGCGAAGCCGGTGCTGTTTAAGAAGAAGAAGGGGGACAAATCCCTGATGAGTCCGGCAGCGCATGCCAAGAAAAAAATGGTCAAGAGTTGGCAGAAGCGGAAAAATTTTGGGGAAGTTAAAGGAGCCGTCGTCGGCGCCGACACCGTAAGGAAACCACTGCTGGAACAGACAATGAATAAATTGGTGTTTTACCACAGGCGGCTTATGAGCACTAAGCCGCATGACAATGTTCTAAACAAGACACGTGTCGAGTTGGTGAACAAACTCAATTCGCACATCACGTCGTTGGGTAACAATAATATGTCACCTAGATCCTTAAGGAAAATGAGGAAGAAAATGAAGGTTACTCAAGAGCAAGCACAATTGTTCTTGACAAATGTCTAATTATTATTTTGTTGCACTGCAGTCAAGCGTAGTAGGACGCCACTGGCAGCAATGTGCAAACAATATACGCCGTATACTGGATTAGTAAGGGCAATGTGTGATCCCATTTCTATATGGGTTTATTTATGTAATGTCACTTTTCCGGTTGGGTGTAAGAGCACTTTTATTGTGCATGTGAAATAAACTTCTTAGTGTAACGCATAAGGCACTTTTGTTCTTTTTGACCTTTCCTAAATTAATGAAGACCATTCTCTTCTCAAATAAATGAATATTTACAATTGTTTATAACTGAAAAAAAAATGGGTGCGCGTACATATGTACGAGCGTGAGAAGTTATACTTCTTTGGCATCATTAAAAATAGTTTTTAATTGCATGCAAATAATTAATTACAATAAAATAATAAAAAGACTGGAAAAGGATATAAATAATCGCCGTCTACATTCTTTATTAAGAACTGTAACGGGCGAAAGTGATTGAGAATCTATAAAAAATGAGCGGTTCAGCGGGCAGCTTCAAAGGTGTTACTTTTGTGTTACAGTGATGCGCGCGCATCTTAAAATTTCACTCTCATCTCTTCATAACCCGCCTAAAGAAGAACTTAAAAATTTATGAGAAATATTGCTAAGCGAGCACCTGGTGTTAACTAATTGCCACCAACCGTGGGCATCTACAACACCATACGGGTTGTATATGCGCTGCCAACGATTTAGAAATGAGTCCCTGTTACCTCATTTAAAAGACTAATTCGCGATTATAATACTTCTACTCCCCGCCAGTTTCTGTGAGCTAAAATCGCTCAATCGAGCAACAACAGTACCTGCTGCGAGCCCCTTCAACGTAGGGTGGGTAGTAGTAGTGAATTGTCATAATAAACTGTTCCATAATTCAGTCATTGCATAGTTTGGTAAACCTCACTGGCAGGTAGAACGCATTTTTTGGCAAAAATTTTGCAATATATATTGCAAAGATATCCCTATTAAAATGTAACGTAAAATTATTTAAAAGGTCTCGAAACACATTGCTATACTAGGGCAAATACAATACAAATTGGCGTAGTGGGTAGTGAACCTGCCTCTTCCGCCAGAGGGTGTGGGTTCTATCCCCACCACTATTGGAAAAATATTGTGTGATGAACGTAGTGTTTTTCCAGTGTCTGGGTTTTTATATATTTATAATATTATGTAGAAATTTTTTATATAACATAATTTATGCCTAGAATTTAATTAAAAAAAAATGGATACACTTAGAAAAGCCAACCTGTATAAAACTACTCTTTGGTAGCGTCAAGGGTAGCGTGTAACACTACGCGTACGTCAGCTGACGTCAGTCATGATAAAATTTTGATAAGATTTAACACGAGTACTTGTTGATGTTAGACAACAAACATTATTTTAGTTTATTTAATCATAATAAGGTTTAAGTTAAAATGATATCATATTTGCATATTTCTGTGACGAGTATCGCAAATATTATATTTGTGCTCTTGTATTGTTTAAATTTTATATCTGGACGAAGAGTAAGAAGATTGAGTTTTATTAAAATTGTGCGAATATTCTTCATGAACCGCTAAATCTCTAAATGTTTTTTTTTATATTTCACGCAGGTTCCAGTTGAAAGTTACTACCCAAATGCGTTTTTTGAAAGTCAGCCTTTGTACAGTAAATTTAATGCAGCCTTAGAAAAGTTAGAACACGGTATGTACTCTGATTTTTAATAAAAAAAGTATTTAATGAAATGAAAAAAAGTTTGGTTTTCATCAAGTTTTATAAATACATTAGTTAGGTATATAAAACTGTCTTTAACAGCTTTGACACTTAAGAATTTTTTTTAATTTAGTTTCGTATTTTTAGAACCAAAATGGGTTCCAAACTGGCCAGATCCGTCCATTAAATTGGGGCAAGTATCTGGAGTAGCTCTGGATAACTCAGGTCTCCTTTTGGTGTTCCACCGAGCTTCTAACACTTGGGATGCAAGCACATTCAATGAAAGAAATGTTTACAATGCTATCGGAGATCCACCTATACCACAGCCAACAGTCCTGCTGATTAATGACACTGGAGACCTAGTTGATAAGTGGGGTCAGAATCTGTAAGTTTTATAGTGATACCACTTTATTTATTAATGAAGTTTTCTGATTTAGTTACTTTTATGAATTGTGTTATTTTAAACAATCAAGGTAAATGAATAAAAATTACGACATTTTAATATGCTTATTCTCAAGTTATCATGAATCAATAAATTTAATGGTTATAATTTTTCATATAAAATTCATGATACAATATCAATAACGAATGTTGTTAAATGTGTTGTATCAGAAGACCATAAACATATTGTCTTAAATAAAAATTTTGTAGAGTTCGCCTCTTTTCTTCGCATAGATAATGATTAATTTTGTTTTTCACTGTGAATTCACTTATTCATATTATGTAAAAACTGTTGATAATGTTCAAGACATTCTTTGGCATTTGTGGAAACGCTTAGAACATCACTTGTGTACTTACAAAGGATTTCCCTACTTGAGAGGGAATTACCTAATTTAGCATAGTTTATATTTACACAAATATAAATTAAGCCTAGAAGTCCTGAAAGCTGTCGAATATGCAGCCTATATAGGGTAGTTTTGACGATCCTGCCAATTATATACCAATTTCAATTACCTCCATACTCTATAAGATTATGGAGTGTATATTTAATGCCAGCCTCATGGCATACCTAGAACACAACAACTTTTTCAGCGACTGCCCGGATCTTTACTTACAATCCTTACAATTTCGCTGATATTGGTCAATTCTGAGGCGTTTTTTTAAAAACCTTTGGGGCGATGCTTGTTTCCTTAGGTATCTCAAAGACTTTTCACGAGATCTGGCCCGCTAGCTTCCTCAGGAAGCTTGAAGCGTGCGGAATATCTCATGGACTAATCGGTTGGGTCTTTCTGAGTGAACGAAGGACTTTCTGTGTGAATGTTCTCTTAAAGTAGTTGTCTAGGGCAGTTAATTCGAGCCAATGGCGATTAATGCCGGAGTTCCTCAGGGGTACAACCTTTCCGCAACTCTTTTCTTGCTGCATATTAACGATTTGCTTATTCCCGATGTCTATGTTTACGCAGACGACAGCACAGTTGTGAAGAGATACCAACAAAGTGTTTGGATCGGTACAGATCTCATACAGTCCGAAAAGAGGTCACGGTAGAGCGTTTGAACCTTACTCCTAATCTATTGCAGTCAGTTTCTGTATGGGGCGATGCTAATCTTGTAAGATTCAACTCTCCAAAACGCAGATGTGTCTTTTTTCTGCAAAAGGGAGCCCGTTCATTTGTTGGGAGTCGATATCCTTCCTTTCCTTGCGTGATTCATTGAGTATAAACCCAAAGCAGCTACAAGTAAGTTATGCGACCTTGCCAAGGTGCGTGGTACTTCTCAACCGGACAGTTTCTTTCTCTTTACAAAGCTCAAGTCCGATCGTGCGTGGAGGACTGCTGCCATATTTGGGCTGGGGCTTCAAAATGCCACTAGCCTTGAGCATAGGCGCAGAGTATCCGGACTCGGTTTTCTACAGGATACATTTTAGAGAGAGTGCGTTGGAGTTGCACTATTTGATTCCGATCGCCCCTTTCCATTAAACACAAAAGGACAACCACACGTTCGGCGGGGCTTCCCCTTTTTGTGGTCGACGTTCCACGAACACACTTTCAAAATCGTTCTTTCACTTCAAGGAGTATTGATCATATGTGTCATTTCAGATTTTATATTCCGCATGGGATAACAGTGGACAGCGCTGGTAATATTTGGCTGACAGATGTGGCCTTGCATCAAGTGTTCAAATTCAAACCGGACCAACGTGACAAGCCAGCATTGGTGTTAGGGGAAAAGTGAGTTTTGACGTTGTTAGACCATTACCTTCTTACTAGTATTGATATTAGAGTATTGTGTACTCATAAAAACCACTTATATTCTTGTTATTATTTATTACATTTACCCTTATATAGTTGCCACCACAGTTATTTAGTTGTTTTATTACATTATTTAGTTGCCACCTTTTAATAAAGTGGGCTGTCTGTCCCAGGTTCGTCCCGGGCGAGGACGATTTCCACTTTTGCAAGCCCAGCGCGGTCGCCGTGTTGACCAGCGGGGAGTTCTTCGTGGCTGATGGTTACTGCAACACGAGGATCATCAAGTTCGCGCCCGACGGCAGCAGGATACTGCAGTGGGGAAGGCGTGAGTGTCCATTGTCCAGTACTTAACACTACAGCCAACAAATTTTGTATGTTCTATTATATTAGCCAGATATTCTAGTGTGGTTTCGATCGTCTTACATCCACGAGACCGGTTCTCACCACAGCCAGCCACCGATAATACAGTCCGTACCGAACCTTGATGGCCAGTAGACATATCTCCCGTTTAAGATACCGCATGAACGTCCCTACTCAACGGGCAGGACAGTATCAAGCTCGTAAGATCTAGCTAGCCCACGTCTGCGTTCGACGAAGCTTGAGACAAAAGGACCGAAAGCAAAAACATCAATTAATATAAAAGACGATAAAGAGAACCGACATAGCTCAGGAGATTGGCAAGCTGAAGTGGGTATGGGCCGTCCATATAGCTCGTAGAACCAATAACCGTCGGGGAAGAAAGGTTCACGAGTGACAGCGTCGTACAGGCCATCGCAGTGTACGACGACCCTCCAATAGATGGAGTGACGACCTGTGCAAGTGTGCCGGAAATCGATGCATGCAAGTGGCTCGTGGCAGTCTGTGGGGGGCTATGTTCAGCAGTGGACTCTAACATGATGAAATGATGGTGATGAGGCGACGATGAGAAATCGGCTATATGCCACTCGGTATCGAGTCGTCTCAGTATTTTTTTTTTTGCAAGAAGGCGTGAAACACATTGGCGGTTCACCTTATATTAAGTGATAATCGATGCCCATTGACATTTGCAACACCCGTAGGTTTGCAGATGCCTTGCCATCTTTTAATAAAGTGGGCCCCAGATACCTTCTTAATCACTAGACGACATGCAGAAGTATAACACTTTCACTTCACGCCGGTCCTCTGTGAGGTCGTGGTACTTACCTGGACACACCTGCGGACACAACAGTTATACAAACTACTGAGACGACTCAACACATATAGGGCGCGGTGTGACCAACGGCCTTTCGAGACGCAGGATGCTGTAGGGATTTCGAAAACGAAAATATATCTATATTTATAAAAGTATCAATATCGGAGTCGATTTATCGAAGAGAAAATATCGATATATCGAATATAAGTCCTAGAAGCCCATTCGTCCAACACAAAAGGTATGTCAAGTATTAAATATTTGACACCTACGGACTCTGTGCCAGATTCAAACTTGAAAAAATATATACGATTTTCGATATCGAATATTTTGTGACGATATATCGACACTCTTCCGACATCCCTAGGGCGCGGCGAGTCGCCGTTCGTGCTGAGCGTGCCGCACGCGCTCGCCCTGGCGGAGGATCGCGACGCGGTCTGCGTGGCGGACCGCGAGCGGGGCCGCGCCGCGTGCTTCCGCGCCGACAACGGCTCGTACGTCGCCTCCTATTCCAGCTGGCTCGTCGGCGGCCGCCTCTTCAGCCTGGCGTACGCGCCCGTCCACGGTAAGACGGCTAGTAATCTCCCGGTATTGGCTACACTATGGGCTATCCATAAGTATATAACAAATTTTGATAATATATATTTTTCCCCTCTTTGTTTGTAGAAGGGAACTTTGTCCCCACTGATAATTATACACATGGATAAATATAGATTTTTATACTTTTGGACTTCACTGTACGTTCATATAGCAGCAGTAACCCGGCGACTTGTATAACCTACGAGTACTGTGCAGTGCAAAAACCACGCACCCTTGTGGTGGAGCCACGCAGCACTGCTAGCGCACGAATGGGCGAGCTAGACCGGGGAAGCACCGCGTCAACACAGAGGACCCCATGAGGATGTGCGAAGTGACCGAGGTCCTCTAAATGGTCGGCAATTGCAAGGTCACTGCGTGCTTAGGCGGCCGTTAATTTCGCGCGAATAATCGAATCGTACACCGAATCATTCGTCATTCGATTCAATCGTCACACAAGAAGCGTCACGACCGTATGCAACGGCGCAGGCGGGCGACTGTACGTGGTGAACGGGCCGGGGGGCGGGGCGCCCGTGCGCGGCTACGTGCTCGACTACGGCTCGGGCCGGATGCTGGGCACTTTCGCGCCGCCCGGCGGCTTCCAGAACCCGCACGACGTGGCCGTCACCGCGGACGGCGCCAAGCTCTACGTGCCCGAGCTGAGTCCGCACCGCGTGTGCAAGTTCGCGCTCGACGCCAAGGCCAAGGTAGACACCGACGCCGACGCCGAGAGCTACGCCGGCGCCGAGAGCTACGCCGGCGCCGAGAGCTACGCCGGCGCCAAGAGCTACGCCGGCGCCAAGAGCTACGCCGACGCCAACGCCACCGACACGCGGACTCGCGCGAAGCCCACAGCTACAGTCGGTGAGTGTTAGAGGCTTCGTCGAAACCGGCGCGATTGGTACCGGCGTTCGGATTCTGTAGTTCTAATTCTTAGAACGATACATACGAAAACTTTTCTATCAACTCATTGACACACTTCGATGGTCAAACACCGACATAGTAATCGTGTTCGAAATTTTTTGTATAACGAATGTATTTTCGTTTGTCGTTTTGCGAAGTAGATCTACTCGCTCGTACCTCGTTTTATTTTAAGGCTTTGCACATATTGTAAATGCACTTTGATATGATTGTTTTTTTAGTCTTGTTGGCAATAAATTGTGTATGGTATCAAACGTGTTTCGTCTTAGATTTGACTACATATTTACGGTATTATTAAAAATAATAAAAAAAATAGAAGTATATAGGCGACCGAAGGTAATCAATAGCAATCGTCAATATGTTATATCTTGAATACTTCCAATACCTAAATTGATACAGTTTAAATCGACGCGTCAATGTATTCGATATCATTTGTAACATGTAGAGAATTCGTAACATTTTATTTTGCTGTCTGTCTGTTCGTCGGTCACCAGGCTGTATCTCATGAACCATGACAGTCAGACAGTTGAAATTTTAACAGATGATGTATTTCCGTTGCCGCAATAACAACAACTACCAAAAACAGAATAAAAAATACAATTAAGCGGGGGCACCCGTACAACAGACATGATTTTTTTTGTCGTTTTTATTGATAATGATACGGAACCCTCGGAGACCGACTCGTTCTCTAGCCGCTATAACAAGGAATATTAAAAAAATATTTAGGTGGGGCACCCGTACAACAGATATTATGTTTTGGTTCTTATAGATAATGATACGCGGGTCCGACTCGCACTTGGCCGTTTTTATTTTTTAATCCTTCGCGGTGTGCACGCGGCCTGTTTCGCGCGGGTTGCACCGGCAGAGGTGTCGAGCTCGGGCGCGGCGCCGGGCTGGGGCGGGCTGTCCGGCGCGCTGGGGGCGGCGCTGGGAGCGAGCGGCGCCGCGCTCCTGGCCCTCGGCGCCATGGCCCTGCTGAAGGCGAGGAACCGCGGTAAGGAGGTCGAGACGGAGCCCCTCGTGCAGTAGACCGCACCCGCTCGCAGCTTTCCGCCACCCGTTGGCGTCTCTGTGGTTATATTGCTCTGTACGCACACGTTGACGCGGCGTAATTAGCCGGCACCCGTTGGCGTCTCTGTGCGCACACGTTAACGCGGCGGCGTACCTAGCCGGCACCCGTTGGCGTCTCTGTGGTTATATTACTCTGTGCGGACACGTTCGACGCGGCGTAACTAGCCGGCACCCGTTGGCGTCTCTGTGGTCGTATTACTCTGTGGGCACACGTCGACGCGGCCCGTCTCTGCAGTCATATTAAACTGTGCAGGGATGTCGAAAAAGTATCGATATTTTTGATTTTATATACAGCGTGTCGTTATCATCGCGACAATAAATGAACACACGTCTAACGCTACTTGCCAATAATCATAAAAAATATAAACGTTAAACAAAATCCATAATTAAAAAAATATATTTTTCAAACAAACTAATTGAGTAAAAAAGAAACAAAATTTGTAACATCCTGTACAACTCGCGCCACATCGTCGTATTACAAGCCTCTCCTTCTAACAGTATGTTTTGTCTCTTTTAAATTCATTCAACCCCTTCATAATGCTTTGGACCTTTACAAATGAACTTTACGTTACGCTTTTATAGGTAAGGGTGATCAAAATTCTTTGTTTTGGAAAATTTAATAACTCTTTAAATATTGATGTTTAAAGAATTTAAATGTTTAATACAACTTTAAAAAGTTATCCCCTATATGTGTGTTCATTTATTGTCGCGATGGTAACGACACGCTGTATATCGATATTTTCAGGTATCAGTATACAGATATGTTTGGATCCGATATATCTGACAAAATATTTAAAATCGAAATTCGTATCAAAACGATTTTGTTTCGAATTCGAACCCGGCACATAGTCCGTGGGTGTGAGATATTTACTACTTGTTTTTTTTTTGGACAGCGGGGTTTCTAGGACCTAGGATATATCGATATTTTCTCTTTGATATATCGAGGCCGATATTGATTGATCTAATATATAAAATTCTCGTGTCACGGTGTTTGTAATTGAACTCCTCCGAAACGGCTCGATCGATTTTCTTGAAATTTTGTGTACATATCGGCCAGGGTGTAGAATCAGAGAACATCTATTTTTCATCCCCCTAAATGTTAAGGGTGGTCCACCCCAAACATTTTTTAATTTATATCATAAAACAACGTTTGCCGGGTCAGCTAGTATTTTTTTAAAGATCGATATATTTCTTCACTTTCGACATCCCTAACACTGTGCTTTTGAGTTGTCTTCAATACCGACACATGCAAAATGCTTTACTTTTGTTTTTAGATTGTGCATGTATTTGTTTATTTTTTTTATAAAAGGAATGTTTATAAATTTAGCTTTAAACATATGAGATGTTAATAAATAATCACGCCATTTTAAACGCAGTGAAGGATTTAAAATTTTACTGATTGTAATGTTAATAAGAGTACATCTTAAATTTTCACATAGAACATTTTATACATTTGCTTTAATAACGGACAAGGGATAGCAAAGCTTAGGCTATGACGACCAAGTAACAAAAGTGACTTTAATCGGTCTTCAGGTATTATTTTTAACGTAAAAGACATTATTTTTTTATAATACGAAATTGACATTTTTATACAATGTATATATTAAAAACAATTATTAACAATATTGTAACTAAATCCTTGTAGCCACAACGAATATGTGATTATGCTAAGTATTTCGATGAATAGATTGTCTGCACTTAATAAAAATAAAGCCAATAACTGAAATAAAAATATGGTTCCGTAAATAAATGGTGAACATGTCGTGGCGACCCCACCAAGTGCGGGATAAAGGCAGGAGAACGAAGAAGAAGATGGTCTATACTTACGGAATAAATTCCGCTTTAAATGTAGATGAAATGACTACCTATCTCAGAAAGAGTGAAATAGAAAAAATGGCGGTAAAACTAATAATGAGTACTCTTTTTGGAGAAATCCCTAACTATGTATAAAACTATGTATAATAATAATTGACTATCTCATAGGGATACATAAAACTTGTGCTTAAAAATAGAAACAATTTAATGTATCTGACGTAAAGTTGTTTCAGTTAAATTTTAACTATTTTTTTTTTCTGTATTTTCTGTACATATAATAATTACAAATTTTTGGTTATTCTCTTTTATTATTTTTGTGAAGGTTATGTTAGCTTTGTTTCAAAGCGCTATTGAAATATGACTTAACATTCCATTTTTGTTATAAATTATCTCATGAAAACGTATCTCCGCTATTAAAATAGTATTTGTGTTATTATTATTTTTGAATTATTTTATTTTATTGATCTCTTTAATTGTATTTCACTCAATTGTTGATTTTATTCTGTCAAATTCAAGTAAAATTAGTTGAACAAAAAAAAAACAATAGCAGTGACTAGATCTGAATACATATTTAATATAGTTATCTAATTTATTTTAATTATAGATATTTTATTATAATACAATGTTTTGTCCATATTTGCTTTAAAATGCAATCTATAAGCTTTAATTGTGATTCCTAGTACAGTTTTATTACTTCTATAATAAGTTTTATTATGCACTAAACTTTCTTGTCCATCTTTGGTATTAACGATACTTGTGACATTGTAATGTAACGATGAATGTGTGTATTTAAATATATTTATTGGAGCAGCTTTGTGTTTATTTTTTATTTTCTGAGCACCTTAAAATTTGTTTATTTTTTATATTTTGCTACTAAAAAAATATTTTTTGTTAAAAAAGCGTATGGTGGCTTGATTTTTATAGTTACTTGCACACTTTTCCAGTAAATTTTAGGTATTTAATTAGTAACTGCTTTATGCCTATATGTATATAATGTGGACCGAGAAAATGAGATGTACTGTGATGTTTCTATTCGATATACCACAAAGAACGATCCAGGCCAAATGATGAATACTGAATATTCGATCTCAGCCGAATCGCCTAACACCCAGCTGCTGAATGAACGGAATGGCAAAAGTTGTAATGTCTACAACTGTATCTTGTATTAACTGATGTTTTTGCTTTCAGTCCCGAGACTATTAAAGCTTCATCTGACGCAGAACCGGTGGGCTAGCCAGAACCCACGGGTTTGGACCCTCCGCTATGGGTAGGGTCGCGCATGTGCTCATGCGTGCGTTTAATTATGGTGTGTCATCTAAGGGCCGTCGAGGTCGCGGTTCGGACCGAGACCCCGATGGCCGTCGACTGTGCATTTAGCTAATCGGTGGCTGGGAGCGGTGAAAACCGCCCGGAACGCGGGTGTACCTTGTGTACGCGTTGTGTGGGTCTCGCCGTGCTCGGAGGCGAGGGCGAACTGGTGTGATTGTTGTTACACTAACTGTGGGTGTAGTGTTATCCGGCGGGACCCCCGGCGGTGGGTCCATCGTATCTAAGTCCTCTTCGTCGATCGGGTCGATGAGGGCGTTTCGCGGGCGACGCTTGTTTACGTTCGCGTTAGTGTCCGGTTGGTAGTTTGCTGCGCTTACCACCAGAGGGTTGGGATGATGCTGGACTCTATCGAAGAACCGTTTTGTCAAATCTTTAAAATGTGTGCGAATCGTCGGGAGTCTGCAATCGCTGTGCAGGTCGACGTTGCGCTGATACCACTGCGCACCGGTTGCGCGGCGGATAAACTTATTTTGTACTATTTGCAACTTGTACAAGCGAGTAGGGTGCGTGTGGGCGAAGATCATGCATGCGTAGGACATAATAGGTCGTACGCAGGTCTTATATAATAATAATTTGTGTCTTAAGGGCATTTTACTTTTAGCATTAGTTAAATTGTGTAGCCGGCCGGAGACGAACGCGGCTCTATTACGAACGTTATTAATGTGCGTAGTAAATGACATACGCGAGTCGAAAGTGACTCCTAAGTATTTGACCTTTTTCTCCCAGGGGAGCGGTTGGCCATAAAGGGATATTTGCCCCAACTTTCTGCATTGGCGAGGGCCATTATAAAGATGTGACGGGTAGGTACTTCGTGTGAAGTGAATCGCCACACTCTTTTCGGGATTTATTTCTATTCTCCATTTGCGGAACCAATCGCCGAGGCGGTCGGCGGCGCTTTGGAGTCGAGTGGTTAGTATTCTAAGGTTGCGGTCTGAATAAAAGAGCGCGGTGTCATCCGCGAAAAGCGCGAGATTGACGTGAGGGTCTTTGGGTATGTCGCTCGTGTAGAGCGTAAAGAGCAAAGGTGAGAGGCAGGAGCCTTGTGGTACGCCGGCCGTGAGGCGGCGGCTTGTGGAGAGGGTGCCCTCGACTCGATATCGAAAAGAGCGATTCAACAAAAAGGCCCGGATGGTGTGTACGAGCCTATCTGGCACTTTGAGTGTGTACAGCTTGTAAAGCAAACCGTTGTGCCAGACTTTATCGAATGCTTTTGCGACATCGAAGAAGAGAGCCCCTGTGCTGATGTGTTTGGGGTGGTTTAGGCCTTTTAGGATGTGCTCCGTTAGGCGGTATAACTGGTCGGGACATGAGTGCCTAGCTCGAAAGCCGAATTGTTCCGAGTCTACAACTTTTACTGTAATTCCTAATAGAGATGTCGAAAGTGAAGAAATATGTTAAATAGATATTTTTCAAAATTCAAATATTTATTTATCTAATATTTACAATAATCAAATCTATTTGAATTTATCTACAATTATATATTATCTAATAAACATAATCCACGCGGCATGGTGCTTTATCATTTCCCTGAACAGTACATGTTAACCCGCAACATGTCAAATACAGATAGAGTAGCCGAAAGGGCCGTTTATGCACATGCATTCGTGAGTGGATCGTGTATACAAGAATTTTAGTCGGGTGCGTGTTTATGTGTTGAGATTGGACAGGTATCGACAATGATATTATATACAATAGATTTGACGAAACTGTGGCACTCAAATTAAACCAATTGATGTAGATGTAGACTGCTATCTCTTTCCATATATGGATTATTATAATAAGTTCTATATTATCTGTCACATCCACTTAAATATGTCATTTAGCGTAAAGCGGAACAATTTTTAAACACCACACAGTATGGCACATGCGTCATCTATATCAAGTATTAAACATCATCGGGTACCGAGACATAAGAGTAGAGGCTGAGGCATGTGCAATGCCGTCTTAGACCATATCGGGGCCCTTGTGCCCACTGATGGAAAGGAAAAAAGTGAATGACAAAAACATTTTTCTGCTATCATCTTATGTTTTTTATTTATTCTATAAACTTCTGCCGGAATATATCTACCAAAAAATAGAGCAAAACTTCTATTAGTTTAAGCGAATACGTAGGCCATGCGGGGCCCCCGTGACGACACGGACCCCGTGCGCCCTTATGGTAAAGACGGTGCTGGGCATGTGCAGGTCGCAAGTGTCCGACGCGGCGGCGCTGGGAGTACGGGCGCGGCGAGTTCAAGCTGCGCCGCTTCTTGGAGAGGCGCCGCTTTACCAGGGTGCACTCCGACGACTCGGAGGATGAGCCGGCACCAATGCTGCCAGCGCAGCCGCCCGCGAACGCGTGATCGATCACGCGACGTGCTGCGAAGCACGCTCGAGTCAGCTAGCGGACTAACCTCGAAACACGCATGCACCCAGTGAACGCCAATAAAACATGGAAGCCGCAAGTTCATGCAAGTGGTTGTTAGTAGATAGCAGCACAACACTCACTGACAGTTACCACGCGCCAAAAACAAAAATGAACTTATTTGTAACTACAACTAAGTCTATATCCCTAAAATAGCATCGCGGTACGGTTTGTATATGGTTTATAAGCCCCGCGCCGTTACGGTATAGTCTCTCGTTATCTCATTTTGTTGCGACAATAATGCTTCCATGTTTATTTGCGTTCACTGCCTGTACTCGAAACGTGAACCTAGTGGCTCTAGGTTCTTGACCCTCCATTTTGCTCCTTAAACATGAACTAAGTACCTGTATTTTTTTTAATTTATCGCAGAGCTCTTTATGTTATATCGTCGATAAACTCCGATCTGGCCGCGATGATCTTCTGGTCGGATGCGTGTTTGTTCCATAACTTAACCTAAAACCAGTAACCAGTAATCGACCATATCACAAAAAACTAACTGTAAATTGGTATAACGATAGGAAGGACGGTACGTCATAGAAGTATACAAATAATCTTTGTTGTGAAACAGTGCATTTTAATATTGTCCAAACACATGTACTAAATATTTGACTAGTATAATAAAACCTGATCAGAGGATGCCACGTGCTTTCTTTTACAGCTACCCCAATTTATGGGTAGATAAAATTAGTTCCAATAGCTAACCGCATTATAAGGAAGTTTTATATATCTACTTCTAATCATGCTATTATTATCTTTATATATATAATTCTTCTGTACGTGTGTATGTCACTGAACTCCTCCTAAACGGCTAGACCGATTTTAATGAAATTTTTTGTACCTCTTCAGGTCGATACAGTTCGTTTTTATTTTTTATTTATAAGTTGTCGAATTTAAGTCATCCGTATACACGGCAACGTCTGCTGAGTCCGCTAGTATGCATATATCGGTCACAAACGTCAATGTCAAGCTGATAACAATATACAAAATGTTTTGTTTTTAGTTTTTGAAGCATTCTTTGTTTTGTAGCTAGACTCGGTGTTTGGTAGTTCTTTAGAAGTAAAGTTTCTAAAATCGCTACTTTGCGCTTAGCCTAGCGGCTTTGACAGCTTCTTCGAAAGAGGTCCGCATACGTCCTGTAACTCGGGAGAACAACGTAGCTGTTCGAAAAGTTGAATGCTTGCGTTCTAAAGAGAAATCGCGACAACAATTTAGGTCGCCATAAGATTTTTTTTAGTAGTCGCGCTTTTCACCTCTCGCTCCATCGCGCAGACCGCCTACGAATCCGTAAAAGATCTCTTTTTATAAATATCGATATTTTTAACCCATCCCTAATTTAAGCAACAAAACTTACCGATAAACATTATTAATGGCGTCAATATTTTATGATAGAGATATGTTATAACTTTTACGCATACAAAATCACGGGTTACCTTTGTCCTATTTGGAAGTGTTACCATTTCCAAACAGGACAGTACACATTCACAAGTTTCGTTCGATTGGTATAAAAATGATGGCGTAATTAAAGCAATAATAAAAAAAAAAGAGGACGGCAAGTGTTTGTGTAGCATAAGTGTAAAAAAATCTCGAAGTCCATCAGTCTTTCTCGTCCCCGTATTAAACTTATTTGCTGCCTCTTTCTTTGTTTACCACGAAAACGACATGTCTTTAGTATTTAATATCAATGAATGGCGTTATCAGTGTTACTAGCATAACCTAGTCATAAATAGTTAACGATTACACCAAAAAATGGCAAAAGGAATAAATAAAACACCAAAAATGTTTAGTTGCTTAAAAATACTTTAATCACGTATAAAATTGATTCGAGCGAAGTAAATGCAAGGAAATGAGATTTTTGACATTGTTCTTAACACTATTTTCGTCTACCTAGGATAATATGATTGCGCGGAGATATCTTAGGGTCGAAGACTGGACGAATCTCGCAGGACATACCTGTAAGCATATAATACCAATCTGAGATGTAAATTAACTATAAAATTAATTAATAATGTTTGACAAATGAGCACGGCAACTTTAACTAGTGTCATCTGTGCATCTCTCTGGACTCGACAAAGGAGCCATAAAATTTGCAATCACCAGAGAAAGTTAAAACACTTTTATAAATAGTCTTTCCATTTTTACTAAATTAGTGAATAAACATTTAGCCTTCTTTCAAACTTCATCTTGTCATTCCGGTTTTTTTAGATGATTTTATTTTAAACATTTCATATATGTATTAAAAATTTTTATTTTACGTCCATTAATAACAAACATTAACTTTTGAAATATAAGAAGTAAAGTCGGAAACATAAATGATTACCAAACATATAGTTCCTATTTAAAGTAAATCTTTAGTTTATTGATATTTTTTTTTTCTTAAAATCTATAAATCACCAAGCTACATTTTAAAGTAATCGGATCAACCTAAATGTACAAAGTGCCAAAAATAATCTAGTCTTAGCATACTTTCTTAACTAAATAAAATATTAATAACTTATCATAGTTTATAGTTATACTAGTTCATAATTTGTTGCTTATGTTTGTCATTTGAGTCAATGTTTTCTTGTGAAAAGCAATGTTTGTAAATATAATTTGTGTGTATAACTTATTCGCAATTGATGAATGTATTTTTCTTTAAATAAATTTATTTCTCAAATGTTCTCCAGTGTTTCTTGAAATATGTTCAAGACAAGAACAGAGTTTATTTTAATTAAGAAAAACATCTCTGATTTTAATACTTATTATGAAAACATTTTTCTTCTATAGCATATGCACATTATGAACATTTTATCTTTGTATTATGATTTTTCTTTTCTTTTACTCATAATTTATTTAAAAGTAAATTTCCGTTAAATGGCTTTTGTCCACTTATCATTCCCTTCTGTTTATTTGTATATATAAATATATATGTATTTATTAATATCTATATATTTATTTATTTTTATTTGTGTATAGTAGTGTTGTGTATATGTATCTACAATACCTATATTTACAATAGCGTATACCTCAAACCCTTCTCACTGATCATTGTATCCTCAGTAACATGATTGCCTGGAAGAAATCGCTTCTAAGCGATAAGGCCGCCAATAGTACCTTTATGTAGTTGTTTGTTACTTTTGTAATTTTGTCTGGTGAACAATAAAGCGTATTTAATTCATTCATTCATTATGAAATGAGAAACAGAAAATTTGATATTTAAAGTTACGTTTACTATAATACAAAAAAATTATAAGTGAGAAGGTAACAAGGTTGCAGGTGCCTTGCCACCTTTTAATAAAGTAGTACCTGACTCACCAGACGAAATGCAGAATTATAACACTTCCAATTCACGCTGGTCATCTGTGGGGATGGGGTATTTACTCGGAACGGTTCTACCCATTCATGCAACAGCCGAAGCATAGCCCTACCACAGCCTTTACCCATTAAATGAGCCAAAATATTGACTTGACACAAAAAAACTACTATAAAACTCCCCATCACAAATTTAAGATATAAGGCCGAGGGTTTATAGATGAAAGAGTTTTATTCGCTCGTAATATATCTCTGTATGGAAAACTGGATTTTCGATTAGATTAAAAGAGGATAATTTTGTTCCCCAAAACTCGAACTGCTTTAGCTCACCGTGTTCGAGCAAGTAGAGCACCCTGTCCAGGAGTATGATGCTCTCCACCAGGGGCGCCAGGATGAGCCTCAGCGAGTAGACCATCACCACGCGGCGCCACTGAAGCAGGGCGGAGCGTCCCACCGCCATTAGGCGCTCCGGTAGCGCCACGTCAAGGCGTCCCAAGGCGGCCTCGCAGTAGCTGTTAACAAAAAAAAGGAGGAGCATGAGGAAGCAGGAGTGTCACATGGTGCGTTTTCTTATGTGAGAAAGTGACAAATGAGCTTGCGGTTCACCTGATGTTAAGTGATAACTGAGGCCCATGGACACCAACAACGCCCAAAGGTTTGCAGATGCGTCGCTACACGGCTATTGTTGCACAAAAGAACGGCGCGAAGTTGGAAGTATTAAACTTTCTCGCTTCGTCTGGTGAGTAGCTGGGCCAACTTTTTAAAACCCCTCGGGTGTTGTTCATAGGCAGCCGTAGTCATTTACTTCGTTCGTTCAACAACCTTCAAACTAGGGATGAGTTATACTTGCTAAATCGCGTACCAGGTCTTAAAAATACATCCACCTTCTCATACCAGGTATCAAAATACTTTCAAATTATTTTCTGTCCAACGCTACCAGTCGAATACTTGTTTCCTTGCAAGTTTAAACCTTTATAATATACAAATAAGATTCAAAATATTCCAATCAAGACGTAAAATACTTGGAAAGTATTTTATCTAACTTATAAGCACAATCTGAACCTTATATATATGAACATAAGTTATCTAATCAAGTGAGAGGGACACACCAGGCGAGACCGATATACATTGCTTCGCCATCGCACGGCGCAAACCCGAGCCCAGCCGAATAGCACCGACCGACGAGCGAGACAAGTTCCGAGAAAAATACATTCGAATTACGATTCGTTCGACGTTCGAGATCGATCGACGTAGTAATATACTTTGAAGGGCTAGTATACTTCAATGGAAAAATACTTTCAAGTTTTGTAAGTATATCGGGTCAGTACCTGGTTGGTATACTTGCAAGGAAATATCTGGTAACGTAAATACTGCAAGCTTGCCAAATTAACAGATAAAAAAAATTGTGTCCTTTTGAGTGCGATAAGCTTAATCACACAACGCATGGAAAAATGGGCATGTTATCAAATTAAAACTAAGAACTCGATTTCAAAACATAGCACACAGAAATAAAAATATGTTAAACATCATAAGGGAATAGTTAAAGAGAGATACCTATCAAAAGTCATATTCCTTGAATGCTTGATACTCCGTACAGGCGAGTGCTTCAGAGCAGGATCATGCTCCACCAGGATTTTTTCTAACGCCGCCCTGTACGCGTGAATCTGGAATAATAATGGACTACAGTTGTAGATTCTAATACCATTAGATGAAAATCTTAGAAAAACCTGACTCCAGGATTAGATAGGATTGTGTTGGATTTATACATTATTTTAACAATGAAGTTAAAATTTTAATTTATAATTTTTTATTTCACTTTTTTTCACAAATATAAAAGATAATTTTATACTTTTGTTTCTCAGAAATCAGGTCTGTTTTATAGTGTTGCGTTTTCTGTAATTTAAATATTTCACAATTTTATGATTAAGTAAACAGATTAAACCTATTTGTATGTCAGATCACACCACCGGGTATCATCAGTAAGACATGGTGGCACTGTTAACTATCTGTATACCTTGATGGAGTTAAAGTATGTAGGAGATCTGAGGGTAGGTAAATTATCAGTTATAGTAATAAAATTTATAAATAAATAAAATATTTTAATATTAGTTTATTAATCTTAAATATAAATTACCTTCAAGTCTTCATATTCACCCCTCTGCAATCTCTCAGAATACAATTCAATGGCATGGCAAGCTATCTCTCTACTTGTATATGACAGTCTACAACCTAAATTCTTTAGGTGAGTGCTCATGGGATACCCACAGGGATTGCTATCGCATGACAATTTCATGTAACAGCATCCAACAACACATATGAACTTCACTTGGCTGCTGCAAACAAAGTGTTTAAGCAATAATGGCCCTAAATCGCCACAGGGATGGAGACCAATGAGCCCATATTCTGTTATGGTGTGCGGTAAAGGTAGATGCTGCAGCTGTGCATGGGACTTCAAAGTCATATTAAAGTGCATTGGCCTTTTTAGTTTAGACATTTCATTGTCTGCAAGATGCTTTTTAGCAGTGTATTCTAATTCCAAGTCTAGTTTTCTGTAACAATATTCAACATGACTAATTTTAAATTTTTTCTAAACTAATTTTATGGATTTATCGCATTTATTTTTAATTACAACACTGTAAATGGTTCAAAACGTCCCGAATTAAAAAAAAAATGCGATAAATCCATAAAATTAGTTTCATTTATAATGTGTAATCACGTAAATACAAGAAAATATTTCAATATTATTATTTTTCAGGTTATTCAAGGTTTGTCAAAGAAAAGTTTTCAAAAAGTTCAGCAACTATTCTCAGAAAGGTTGATTGTACTTTTACTTGTACTATATGAACTTGATCCTGAAAGGCTTATATTTGCCAATCCTAGGTCTAATATCAAATAGAGTAAGAAAGATTATTTAGGACACATTTAGGACACACAAGAATGATTATTATAAATGACCATGACTTTTTTTTAAATCTTAAAAGATGTTTATAGTTGTTGCCTAAGTATTCAATACAAGCAAATTAAATGTACAGACCTAGCCTCTGATGTCAATTGTTGCTGACATTCAATACCAATGGCAAATAAATCATAGTTATATCCAAGCACCCGCACTAAATGCCCCAGGCCAGACCCAAAGTCCAAAATGGCTCCACAATTACTCGGTTTTGCTATGTCTTTAACAATATCAGCCATCAAACTAATTTCATGCCTTTTCTTTAACTTTACATGCTTCAGAAATAGATTCTTAAGTTTAGGATGATTGCCAACATTAACTTCTATGGGATTCTCAGAATTTTTATATTCATTACGAAATCTGCCTTTTCGGGGGATGCTGAGAGCTTGAACAGTTTTAATCAGGGACAGAAATGATAATGGAAGCATGTGTTTTATTGGTGCACCTGTGAGGTAGGCTCCCAATTCTTCAGGATCCAAAGATTCAACACTTTCGCGCCAAGACTGAGGTAGTCTTTCCCAGTGGTTGTCAACAAAGAAGTCCTGAAACGAAAAAAATACCAATTGATATAATATTTCGACAAGTAAATAATAAAACACAGTAATAAGTAAACAATTAAATAGATTAAAAAAAGAAGAGCCATATCTTACCAAAACATACAAATCCAACAACCATTCAAAAAGGAGAATAACTTTTTGCAACATTTTAATTCTCGTTTTTACAGCTTCTTCTTGCGAAATCATTTTAAGATAACTTTTAATTGATATAACTAATTTTAAATGACTTGTTATCAATATATAAAATTGTGAATTGTGAACTCACAAAATATATAATTCAATATTTTTTTTATTTTTTTTATTTTTTTTGGATTTTATGGCCCGGTATCAAGGACCTTTAGGGCAAAAATTAATTTTTATTAATTGAAGTAGGGATGTCAAAAAAATATCGCTATATCGATATTTTTGATTTTAGGTATCGATATACAATAACGTCGTGTTATTCATTAAGAATAGTCGTGTCCACACAGTGCTCCTGCGTAAAACCAGTGATTAAGTATTACCGTGTTATTTATGTTTGACAGTGTCTAGTGCCTTTGACGTTGCGATTCGTACGTCTAGCTAACAAGACCTCTCGCATATGGACGTTAACGTGGAATAACAGTGTCTCGCACGACTGGCCCTGCAAGTGCATTGTGTTAAGCTTTAAATTAAACGCAATCAATTGCTTTCGAACTTACAGTATAAGTAATAAGTTTAAGGTTTGGACTAAAACATTTGTGTAAACAATTATTAAGTTACCTTCGTGGATTTATAATTTTATCGAAATATTAAATTGAAACCATATTCCGAAGTTATATTAATAGAAGATTCAACTATTAAGTAATCTCTACTCTAAGAAATAAAACCTGTAATGGATGCCAAGGGCAAATTAAATCCAAGGAATTTATGAAATGTCCGCATTGTAAAAGAGATTATGATTTAACAAACGCTCTGAAAATAAACATGTAAACCAACTTAACTGTTCGTCTCAGCCCAGGAATGACAGTGTTAAAGAAACGGTTTTAGCCACCAATGAGATATCCGAAATAATCAAAAATGAAATTCACACCGCCATGGGCTTAGAACTGCCATCCTTGATCAATCAGCTGCTTATGTCTAATTTGGATCCGATAAGGGACCAACTAAGCTCACTTCAATCGTCTGTCAGCTTTGTAAGCGACCAGTATGACGATCTTAAAAACAACTTAATTGCAATAACTAAGGAGAATAAAGCATTAAGAACGGAATGTGCACAGCTTCGCGAAACAATAAGTAACATCACCGATCGTCTGAACACTGTTGAGCAATATATGAGGGACTCGAATATTGAGATCCAAGGTGTACCTGAGCATCGATCTGAAAATATTGTGAATATTGTAAAACAGCTAGCTCACATTTAAGTTGGCTGATAATGATATAATGAATTGTACCCGCGTGGCTCCTCTTACTAAAATAGGAAATAGACCTCGAGCCATTGTAGTGAAATTAAGAAGCAATCGCTGTCGCGACGAGTTTTATTCTGCAGTCACAAGATTTAACAAGGCGCACCAAGATGAAAAACTCAATATGTACTTCACACTTAGGGATCGCCGGCGACAAAACACCTGTTTATGTCTGTGAGCATTTGTCACCAGCTAATAAAGCATTGCATGCTGCAGCTCGCATCAGATCTCGTGAGCTAAATTATAAATTCGTTTGGGTCAGAAATGGCCATATATATATGCGTAAAGATGAAACATCACGTTTTATCTACGTTGAGAATGAACAGACATTGTCTTCTCTGGAGTGAGTCTCTTGTTAAACTAGCAATCTATAATAATACATCTTCTACCTATATAAATACGATACTTTAACTGATTTAACCATGTATTATCAAAATGTACGTGGTATCAGAACTAAAACACTTGATTTATATAATTCTATATTAAGTAACAATTTTGATTTAATATGTCTCATTGAAACGTGGCTTGACGATGACATTAACAGTGCAGAAATCATTGATGAACGATAAATAGTTTATCGTAGGGACCGACCTAAAGATTTTATGACAAAATATAAAAAAGCCTATGGTGGGGGGACACTTGTTTCTATAAAGAAAACAATAATTTCCGAACATAAATTTGAGTGTAACACCACTGTAGAGGATCTTTGGGTCCGTATTAAGTTACGTAATTTCTGGCTAAATATATGTATCGCTTATCTTCCCTCCTACTTAACTTGCGAACATTACTCAGAGTTCTTGGATAACTGCGTGAATATTGGGATGAACATCGCTAATCTCTTTTCGGATTTTTTTTCAACTGTCTACAGCAATCCAAACCTATTCTATATACACTCCAAACTTCAAACCAAGTACCTCCACTTTAGCCTCTATTCATGTTGCTGATAAAGATATTAAGTCTTGTATTAACTCAATCGATACAGGAAAAGGCGCGGGCCCTGATGGAATACCGCCTATTTTTGTACGTCGATGTGCGGTTGCTCTCATAAAACCCTTGGGTATAATTTTTAATAAATCCCTCAGCAGTGGCACCTTCCCTGACTTATGGAAAATTACAAAAATTGTACCTATATACAAATCCGGTGACAGGAGGTCCGTATCGAACTATAGACCGATTAGCATTTTGAGTTGTTTTGCAAAGATTTTCGAAAGCTTTGTGTATGAACATTTTTATGCTCATTTTAGAGTAGTCATAAGCCCCAATCAGCATGGATTTGTCAAATCTAGATCCACTACTACTAACTTATTAAGTTATTCGCACTACTTAAATACAGTCTTTGATCAGTCAGGGCAAATGGATTCGATTTATTCCGATTTTGCAAAAGCATTTGATCGTGTTGATCATTCTATATTATGTATCAAAGCGGAACATCTGGGGCTGCATGGCACTCTCCTATGTTGGCTGCGCTCATATTTACAAAATCGTCCTCAAATAGTAGCGATTGGTGGTCATGAATCTTCACCTTTCACAGCAAACTCAGGAGTTCCTCAGGGATCAAATCTGGGGCCTTTATTGCTTTTAATTTTTATAAACGACCTGCTTAACATATTTAATTCTAAATGCTTGACATTTGCTGACGACATAAAACTATTTTACAGTATTCAATCCATTTCGGACTGCGCTATAGTTCAATCCGACATCAATACGTTAGTCGACTGGTGCGCTAAAAACAAAATGTCACTAAACATCAGTAAATGTCAAGTCATCACATTCTCTAATAAAAGGAATCTTACAGTTTTTTCATATAATATCTTAAACGTCCCCCTGGAACGCGTAAACATAGTGCGAGATCTGGGAGTTTGGTATGACTCAAAACTTTCTTTCAGAACCCATTACGACTCAATCATCTTAAAAGCCAGAAAAAGCATAGGTTTCATAAATCGAATCACTAAGCCTTTCAAAAAAATCAAAAGCTTAATTATCCTCTACAATTGTCTGGTAAGAAGCAATCTTGAATATTGTTGCACCATATGGTCACCATGCTATAATAATCATATAAATAGACTAGAGTCAATACAAAAATGGTTTGTTCGTAGCCTCATTTATAAGCTAGGTCTGGGAAAAGTTCTGCTAACATACAATGACAGACTTGCAAGGTTTAATCTGGATTCTCTTCTTATGCGACGACAACTTAGCGACCTCTTAACATTGCATAAAATAGTTAATCACACCCTTGATTCTGACGTCCTATGCCATGTTTCATTGAGATGTTCACGTAAATCTAGTTGTAGACAGCATCTTTTCCATATACCGCTAACCCAAAATAATGTATCTCATAACAATCCCTTAATTCGAATGTGTAGACAGTATAATATTTTATGTAGAGACATAGATATATTTCATCCAAACTTGTCATTATTTTTAAAAACTATTAAGTCCTCTAAGAACATTGGTCTGCTTCTTTGTTATAAGTAAATTAGTAACTATAACTATAATTTATTACATACATTATTAAAATTGCATGTTGTGCTCGGTTGTTATTGAAATGCAAGTTTAGTAATATATATTAGTCTGTAATAATTTAGTCATGTTAGAATTTGTATTTTGTAACCGTGCCAAATAAATAAATAAATAAATACGTACCTTTGACGTTGCGATTCGTACGTCTAGCTAACAAGACCTCTCGCATATGGACGTTAACGTGGAATAACAGTGTCTCGCACGACTAGCCCTGCAAGTGCATTGTGTTAAGCTTTAAATTAAACGCAACCAATTGCTAAAGAACTTTCGAACTTACAGTATAAGTAATAAGTTTAAGGTTTGGACTAAAACATTTGTGTAAACAATTATTAAGTTACCTTCGTGGATTTATAATTTTATCGAAATATTAAATTGAAACCATATTCCGAAGTTATATTAATAGAAGATTCAACTATTAAGTAATGTCTACTCTAAGAAATAAAACCTGTAATGGATGCCAAGGGCAAATTAAATCCAAGGAATTTATGAAATGTCCGCATTGTAAAAGAGATTATGATTTAACATGCTGTAGTCTAACACTTAAACAATTTTACGACATGAGTCCCGCTAGGAAGATAAATTGGAGGTGCCCTGAATGTCTTACCAAGCAGCCTAAGCGGGATAATACGAATACACCCGTTCATGATCGTGCGTCTCTTACCTCAAGCGGAAACATTCCCGCAATGAACTCTGAACCCGAAACATCAAGCAACTCATACGGGAACCTGCCTCCCTACGATGCAAATGTGACTTTTCGCTCATCTAAACGCTCTGAAAATAAACATGTAAACCAACTTAACTGTTCGTCTCAGCCCAGGAATGACAGTGTTAAAGAAACGGTTTTTTTTAGCCACCAATGAGATATCCGAAATAATCAAAAATGAAATTCACACCGCCATGGCTTAGAACTGCCATCCTTGATCAATCAGCTGCTTATGTCTAATTTGGATCCGATAAGGGACCAACTAAGCTCACTTCAATCGTCTGTCAGCTTTGTAAGCGACCAGTATGACGATCTTAAAAACAACTTAATTGCAATAA